CCTTGTAACATTCGCTCTCTGACTTTCCCCAAGCTCTCTGATTCTGGTGACCCAGAACCACTGAGATACACTCCTCTCCCCACCACCGTTCCTGCTCCCCGACAGAACCTGCCCAATGGCAGCCCACCAACCATGCCCAAGGCCCAGGTTATTGTTGCTCCTGAGCTAGCCAGCCACACCAAGAGTGATACACCAAAGCCTGTGAGTATAATTCAGTGTATACATTGAACACTTCAGCTGCAACTTCCACTATAATGATGAAACTTGGTTAACCAGGCAAGAGCGTACACAAGTGTTGTGAGCACGCTGCAGAGCTCTACTCTGCAACAGTGAAACTATGCAAGTCTCCTATTTATTTTTATGCACGGTGAAGTCTATTTTTTCGTTTTTAAAAAAATAAAATAAAATAATAATATGGCTCTATGGGAAATTATTTTCGCTTTAGGTGTATTAAATAGTCTACCATGCACTTTAGATGTTAACTTATCATGTTACAAAATTTCAATGCTTCTGTGCCATATTTAAAAAAACCTGCAGAATTAAAAATTAAAAAAATGCCCAAACTTTGCTTTGTCTTTGGTCCCAAAACCGTACACTGCATGCGGGCTGACTGTGCAAGTAGAAAACATACATTCCCCTTCATGAAGACTCGACATGTTTGATACATAAAAATATTAAAAGCGCATATCAAGGGATGGTTAAAAACAGTTCTTTGAGCTGTATTGATATTCATGCTTTTGCCCCCACCGCCATTAGGCCATTCTAGGGTCAGGATCTGCTGGTCTACCGTGTGGTGGAGCCCTCCTCAGCATGACTCCCAGCGAGCGTCAGTGTGTGGAGACGCTTGTGGGCATGGGCTACTCTTATGAAGGCGTCCTGCGGGCCATGCAAAGACAAGGGCAGAACGTGGAGCAGGTGTGACTCCCTCCTACTCCAACGTGCACAAATTTGGATTCATAACCTATTTGCTGCCTGGTGCTTCGCACTTCGTTTTGTCTATATGTTTTTGTCAGTGTGCACATGTATTAAAATAAATGTTTTGCACTCCACTCACTCTTTTTGTGAAAAGTTAAGGCAATAGATCAGGTTGTGTAGAGCTAGTATGAAATACTTAAAACCAATGATACAATGTTTGTCCATGGTTAGATGATTATGAAAATTATGAGTAAATGTGGTATAACTGGTATAAGTGATCTACATTGACCTGGTGAAGTTTGAGTAATGAGGTAGAATTGTGACTCAGTAATGTGAGATGATAGGCTCACAGAGCAGGAATTACAGAGTAAGAACTTTAATATGATGTTATTTCGGTTCACTGTAAAAACTTACAAAACCTATTAGTACCACATTGCTATTAAAGTTGTCTTTTATGTGCGTATTTGAATTAGTTTTTGTTTTACTTCACACATAATAAACATTTACTTATTGTCTGTCCAAGGTACTGGACTATCTATTTGTCCACGGTCGTCTGTGTGAACGTGGCTTTGATGAAAGTGCAGTGGAGGAATGTTTAGAGATGTACCAGTGCTCAGAAGAAAAGGTTTGTACGACCAAATATACATCTCAAAAAGATGAGGAAAAACTGTCAGTGGACCTGAGAGGCTAAAAAGGTTTAAGAATACAATAAGAACAACAACAATGTAATTTCAACATATTTTTCACTCTTCCTAGGCATTGCAGTTTCTTGAGCTGATGTCAAGATTTGGTGAAATGGGATTTGAGCGGGATACCATCAAAGAGGTGCTGCTAGTCCACAACAACGATCAGGACAAGGCTTTGGAGGACCTGATGGCTCGTGCCACGGCTAGCTGAACCTAGCCAGTCGGCTAACCAAAGCTCTACCCAGGGCATGCCTCCCACTACCACCCAACAGCCCCTTTCCTTCCACCCGCCCTATCATACCATGCCCTGTCCTTGCCTTGGCTGTGGAAGGGACTGCTGGGAGACTGTTGTATTTCTCTGTGCTAAACCGCATTGTGTGTCAGCACTTCTTAATGACTGTGCCTAGAGTGGAGGAGGTTAAACTGTAACCATGCTTCTTGAGGGTGTTCCAGGATTTGGTACTGCTAGGATATTCGTGAATAGGAGGAATAACTGAGCTGTGGCAGTTGATGCCATTCTGATTTGCTTCCACTTGGAAGTGTTTATCTGACTGCAGGCAAAAAACAAAACTAAACGCAAAGCCGAATAAGGAGGAGCTGGTTACAAACTCTGGGTGCATCCACGAATGACCAGTTTGAACTTTAGAATCTCTAAAAAAAAAATAACCTGCCATCTTCCACTGCTCACAGCAGACCTAGTAGACAGTGGAGGGGATAGGTGGGCTTGTGGACGCTTTCTTCAAACAGAACAGTTTTACATTAACAAATAAAAACAAAAGAGGGGGAAAAAGCACAGACAGAGAACTGACTCGCAAGGAGTGACCTCTGTGCTGGTGTGCCCGCACCTGTTTCTGTTCTACTTTATGCTTTCACTCATTCTTGTTGGTTTTTACAGTTCATTTTGGGCACTTTTCATGTTGGTTTCAAATTCAGTTTTGTTGCTTTCTGTTTTAGGAATTGCATTAATAGATCATTTGTCATCATAAGTATGAACACAAGAGTACTACTGCCCCATTGTGCTCTTTGACCTGCACTGGAAAGCCTGCTTGAAGGAGTGGGAGAGGTGTAAGAAATTGAGAAATATCCCATGATGTATTGGCACTGATGTGTCACATACCGCACGGGCACACACCTTTCATAATTATCAACTTATTTAAAATAGAACACTGACACTTTGATTTAAAAATAAAGAGGTTGATATAATAATGTAAGATATGTTAACTTGCAAAAGTGATGGTTTTAACTTTCACTGGAAAACAGTGGGGGGGGGGGGGTTTAAAGAAAGACAAAGAAATGTGAGGGTTGCTTTTGCAGCCACGTCACAGTGCAATAGAGTCATTTCATATTGTTTGACTTTTGACTTGGCACTTTGAGCCTCAAGTGATTTTGGGAGAGGAGAAATGGTCTGCTGGCCTTGCTGGAAATTTTACCGGAAAAGCTTTGATTTTAGAGATTTCTGTCATTCACACACTGTTTTTTTTGTTTGTTTGTTTGCTTTTTGGATTTCATACCACAAACGCAAACAATACTTTTTCTTGGTTCACTGTTTTTCCCTACGAGTAAGATATGTGTTCATTCAGATTTTAGTTTGGTCGACATCTCCATAGTCTTAAACGGAACATTTAAATGAAAAAGTCGAAAACATTTTCCATGATGTCAATTGGGTTGAAATTGTTTAAAAGAATTCCTGTTTTATCTTTTTTACACGTGGTAATGGACCTGCTGAGTTCGGTATTAAAAAAGTGTGTCTGGTTTGATGGGGATTGTGAAAGGCATGGTAACAATTAAGGGCTTAATGTAAGCAAAGGGTGACTCAGAGAACTGAAACTTTACTCGGACTAGCTCAAATGAGAGGAGACCACTTCTAACCATCAGTCTGTTTGTTTTGTTTTTTTGGTTTATTTTGCCAATAGGGAAATTATTTTACTAAGATATTAGTGACAAATGTCTGAAAAATACACGGTACCATTCAAACAAAGATGAACACGTTTGCAGTAAATTCCCAAAGTGTTGGGGTGGTTAAAACTTTGCATTATTGGTTTCAGCAAGGCGTTGCGTCATCATTCAGCCTTTTGAAACTGAAATGTCAACAAGTAAGTTTCAGTTTTTTATTTTTAACTTTTAATTGCCTTCCTTTCTATTTACCAAGCTAAAGAAGACATACAAACACACAAGTGGTATTATAGTGTCCGTACTTGACTTTCGCGTAGCTTTGTTAATTATAGGTAAAGCTGGTGTCCACTTGCCTCTTCTCTGACAGCCCCACACCCTGGAGAGATTATAGAAAAAAATCTAATCTGAACTTCCAATTGACCTTTGCTTTCATTCTAACATCAGAGTTGTGCGAGGATGAAGCGCAACTGGTTTCTCATTTAGGCGATCATATTTAAGCATTTATATATTTAAATCTCCATCGATGATCAGTCTCCATCTAATGAACATTGAAATATTTTAATATTATAATAAATGGTGGGTAAGTGTCTTTCCCAAAGTCCTACAATGTGATTCAGAAAATGTTCAGTTTCCTCATTATCATTTGGAAATGATTAAATGTGCACATCCTTTGAGTGGTGAGATGGCTTTTTTTCCTTTCTTTTTTTTTTTCTTTTTCTCAGGTTAGGAAACATGTCTATATTTATTTTCTCTCTGTTTAGAGGAAGAGACAGAGTAAATACAGAGAATTGGTATTGTCACTAGCAACTGGAAACATCCAACTCTGACGCCTAGTCAGCAGAGTATACAACAGCAGAGAGGCCAAACGTATCCTGCCTGCATTTATCAAGGTATAAAAACGGACAAGACTAGAGTTCAGTGAGTTAAAGTGCTTATCAGCTTTGTGATTCCATACTTGGGTGCTCATGCCAACAATAAGTCAACTTCGGAAAAATCCAGTAAGCTGCCTGTAATGGTGAATTGTCTGCTTCTATACAGTGCCTTTTGGGGCTCTACAAAGGGCTTTACATTCACACACTCACACACATATAGGGTGTTTGTCCACCAACAGGAGCAACTCGGGGGTTGATTTCTTTCCCAGGGATGCGTTGGCATTTGAAGGGTAGATGGCCAACTCAAACTGGAGAACAATCCACCCTACACCACTGTCTCTGTCATAAGAATGTGTAAAATGTTTAGAAATACCATCTGTGAGCAAACAGAATATGTTTCAACAAACTATTAATAGCTATTTCAACCAAATGAAACAGTTATAGATATCAGCTCTATATTATTGAACATATATTGAATATAAATTTAAATCAATGTTAAAATACCCATATTAAAAACAACAACGAAAATACAGTAGTAATCTAATGTGTCAAACGACAGCTCTGACGTCACACGATCGGGTCAATGGTACCACGCAGTTTAACGTGAACGAGCACGTTTGACGTTCTCGTACGACCTTGTTTTTGTTGATGTTTAATTTCAGTGCGGCTGCGCGCTGCCTTCGCCGTTGCCGCTGACGCGACCTGACAAGGAAAAAGAGCAAGCTACTAGCTCGGCAGTGAATAGTTTACACGGACTGAGTGTAGAGATTTTTGAGAGGCGAGTAAGTACGCTATCTGAGGACGTTCGGGGATAATTTTGGTTTGCGATTTAACGAACCTCACCCGTATGTGATCGCCTTTCCTCTTCGCTGGACGCTGCCTTTGAGGGCCAAGGAACAAAATAGACATCGCCATTATATGATCCAGTGTCCAGCGTCACTTTTACCCTCCATGTGGGTGAGGGAACTGTGTGTGTCAGATTATGGCGAAGAAAACAGTTAGCAGGAAAAGGAAGGCAGGAGAGCCCAAGGACCAACAACAGGTAGGCGGAAACCGGTGCGGGTCCATATTAGCTAGCTAAACTGTTATGTTGGGTTGCTAATTAGCAGTGAGTTAGCCAGATTTAGCTGATATAAGATGTTATTACAGATTTTTACTTGCATTATAACATTTAACAGCTTCGCTATATGGGAAAAGCATGCAACAAACAGTAACAATTCTGTATTGTTTAAAATAACATAATATATTTCGATTTGAAAGTACCCGCTTATATTAACATGTCGTTAGCCAACGGCAGTCCGTTGTCAATCTGACAGCTAATGTTAGCCACGTTATTTGTGCTATTATTCTCTTTATCAGATTTGGCTGGATACTGCTGGCAGTCCTTTTCTCTAATATTGCCGTCTTTCGTCACCTTCCGATCAAAAATAAAAGCAGATTTGATCTTATAAATAGCTCAGTAGTGTTATCAGGCATAGATAGCTATACAGCTAACGCTAGCTGAAACGTTAACTGTTAAGCTGACTAGCCATTTCCCGTATGTACGGACTAACCGTAGATTGGTTGCGTCCACGCCCCGAATTGGACGTTTGTCGACAAATGAAATACCGTATCGAGTAGGCATGCCAAAATAGCCAGTACTGAGTCCAGCACATCAGAAAAAAACGTGTTTGACCTGAACCAGAACGTGTGAGACTGGTCACAGTAATCACGACCTGCTTCTAGTGCACCTCTCAGGCCCATGGAGCCACCGTCATCGGTAGATTTGAGTCAGATTGTCAGAATAGTTTTCCAGCATTGAACAAAACCGGCAAAATGTTCAAACAGTACAAGAAAGAACGACAAAAACAACATGGCACAATGGCTTCCTTTGACATACAAAGTCATAAATACTGAGTGTTTTTCTTCCATTGTTCAAGACCTGTGATCCGGCTTATAATTGGTTTGCTTAGTGTGAGAGAATTATTAATCAACATTTGTAATTGTATTGGATGGAAAATGAGATGATTTTTTTTTTTTTTAAGTAGTCTGATTTGCCACTAGTGTGTACTTAATAGCAGTGAGAATGATGTCCTGGGGACCCTGTGCCTCTATATGTTTACATATTAGCCCATATTCAGGATCTGAAATGCCCCAAAGCAATCGCACGCAGTATGAGTCTGATTCTGTTTCTGTTTATTTAACATTTTAAGCGCTGAGGTTGTAAACTGTAAAATGTGGATAGTGCTTTAATCATATGGCCAGAGTTTAGTATTCATTGGCCAAGAAAGCCACTAATTGTTGCAAAAGTTAAATGAATGTATTAATGGACAAACATCACACAAACATGACATGATCAAAACCCTTTTGGAAAAGTGTTTATCATCAATGATATTACAGTTTGTCATTAGACCCCACAAAAACCCTTTGACTTTGCAACCGTTTTAGTCAGCCAGCTCAACTACTCGATGTTCAAATGTAAATGCTCTGATAATTCTCTCAAGTCTCTGTGTACAAGCTGTGTCCACAGTCATGTGGGAGATAGATGGGTATGGCTCAGCATGAATAAGCTGAGACATTGAAATAGGCACGAAGAAGTCTGAAATTCACATACATTCAAATCTCATTTGTTTTGTGTTGGTAATAGTAATCCCTTTGTTTTTATGATTCAATCTCCAAAATTGCACATTCAACATAATAACTTAAGACATTTTGTTTTTAATTTTATTTCCCTCTCTTTTCACAGCTGGGTTGGTGTCAGGCGCCACACAAGCGAAGCCGTGTTTCTTGTTCTTCACGTCATGCCCAGCAGTGGTGGTGCAGTCGACGCTCTGTGGTATGTGCTCTGCGGGGGCGGGAGTTCAGACCTCAACAACAGCATGAGTTGCGGCTCCAGAGGAGCCTGCGTGGCTTTGCAGCCGGCAGGCTCCCCGGCATTCTTAAGGAGAGGGAGTTTTCTCTCGGGCGGCTCAACAAAGTGTTTGCCTCACAGTGGCTCAATCATCGGCAGGTGGTGTGTGGGACAAAATGCAACACGGTAAGATGCCCTTTTTATTTGTGATCTATATTAGCTAGTTAGGCTTTTCCATATGTTATAATAATGTTTGCCAGAAATCCCACTTAATCAGTAGGTTTACATGACCTCATTTAATTTCATTATAAAGAGATAAAGATCGATCTTAAATCAGCTCTAAATCAAGTAAACATTCTTGAGTGAGCTTAGTCAGAACTTTTTCAATTGTCCTCACACATTTTTGGCCAACTAGCTGTATTTTCTTTATGTACTTTCAGCTTTTTGTAGTTGATGTACTGACAGGACAGATCACACGCATTCCCATGCTGAAAGACAGGGAGTGTCGTGATGGAGGCTCTGGGGAGGTGGGTCCAGTGGTGCCTGGTCGCAATTATCACTTAACAGAAATCTCCCATACCCGGTTGGACCAGCAAGGCTGTGGGATCCACGCTATTGAACTCAACCCCTCTAGGACACTGCTTGCCACAGGAGGAGACAATCCTAACAGCCTGGCCATCTACCAACTTCCTACACTAGACCCTGTTTGTGTTGGCGATGTAAGTAGTTTGAACTGTTTGGTTGTTTCCTGACATTTGGTTATTGATAATAGTGATTAATCCACTTTTCCTGCTTTAGAAATGATATCAAACTTTCCATGTACCAGACAAGATTCATTAAACAGTTCTAGCGATTTTAGGCATTCAAAATTGCTGAGATACTTTAATTCCACTTATTCAGTAGTATAATGAGTAGTCATTGTAATGACAGTAATGCTGTTTTCCTTCTCCATGTCTGCTCCACTCTGCATGGTACCCTCTCCACACAAATGGAGTGAAGTCACTGTAAAATAAAAGGTTCATTGGAAACACATAATTGCATTAAGCTTCCCTTTTAAATCCAACGTTTTGTAATACCACTCTGCTCATTCGTACTCGTTTCCAAGATTGCAGAGGTGCGATCACGTAGTGTCTTTTGAGATGTCAATAAATCAAGTAGGTCTGGGATTGTGTTGACAGATGGTTTTCTGTGTTGATTGGCAGGCATGTCATAGCAGTCATTAAGCTACAGATGTAGATTCTAAAGAAATGGTGAGGAAAATGGTTAGAACTTTAATGGACATTTTTGTTTTTGGCCATTAAAACTATATAGAGTTAAGTGTTACAATGTCTGAATGAATGAATATAGTCTAATGAAGTGACAAGTCTGTCTGATCATCATATCTTTTTAAAACATGAAGCCAACATAACATGTTACAACTTATGTAAGACCAAAACAATTTACTGATTAAATACTTCATATACAGGCAGTTGTATGTAGCGGAATGTATAGTGAGCTATTTAACAAAATGAAAGATATCTTGTCACTACACTGATCATTGTCTCTTCGTTGTTATGTGCAGCACAATTATCATGTCTGCTGCACAATTGCTGTTGTCAGTTTGTCATGTTTCCTTTGGCACAGTGACGGATGGTATGCAGTGCCAGGATAATGACAACTAGTAATGTGCTACTTTTTGTGAAGCACTGCTAGGTTGGGTCTAGGGCTGGGCGATATGACCCAAAATTCATATCTCGATATTTTTTAGCTGGATGGCGATATAAGATATATATCTCGATTTTTTTTTTTTTTAAAGCCATAAGTTAAGAACAAAAAGAGAGTTCTTAGTCACACTGTGTCCCAGATGTCACACGGGCACTTTTATTTACATACAGCGTAGATATTACTCAAAAATTAATTATCAGCATATATTAAATAATCATGGTCCATAAATAAAAGAAAACAATGTTGTTTTTGTGCATAACAAAAAGCTCACAATTGTGCAGTCAAAATGTAAACTAATAGACGCTGAGCGTAATAACAAAGAGACAGATTTCACAGCTGCACCACCTCTCTGAACAGGTGCCATTTGTGGTCCTTATCCTCCTGAGACCCAGGGGAAAAAAAGTATTTTGATTTTGATTTTTTTCAGATAAATCAAGTGTTGGGATGGTAAAAAACACATTACAAAAACAAAATTGTTTTTAACTAATTTTATTTAAATTTTACAACATGTGCACTACAGTGCACAAGGGGAGTTCATTGATCACGAATGTGAAACTAACAAAATTCAAGAGCTATTTAAGAAAATTAAATGCTCCACTGAAATTTTTGTAAGCAGGATATTAAAACTTATTTATATAATAATATCATAAAAATGTAGATCATGGGTCAACTTAGAAGTCACTGACACTTCACTAGCTGTAAGCCATTGGTTCAGGAACAAGTGATTGCACTGGGCTTTCTATTTCACAAAAGTCAATTCATGTATGATATCTGAGGAAGTACTGTGATTTTTTTTATTTGGAGACACAAAGGAACATTTGGCACTTCCCACATCTCACATATGTTTTACTGTTGCACCCAACTATTCTACAACTGAAATGCCTTGGACTGTTAACCATTTCAGGCAAGTGGAGTGAACCATATTTTGCTACACTCTCATCTGATTGGGGCTTCCTTTTCTTGATTTTTGGAGAGAACTCTTCATTACTGGTATTATTCAGGTCTTGTTCACATGTTTGTCCCTGGTTTCTCAGCCAAGAGGAGCTTGAACTCCAGATACTGTGAGTTCTTTTCACACATTGAGATCATTGATAACTTTCAGCAAAGACGTGATCTTGTAGAAACAATCAGGTGTCATGGATTCAGCTATAATTGCAACTCTTGTTTTTTTAACTTTACTGGAAAACATTTCTGCATTTTACCCATATGTTATTTTTAACTCAAAATCAAAAATTCCAGATTCTCCTACATGTTGGTTTTGGACCAGATAGGACGACAGATTTCAGGTGGCCCTGTGTTTTTCTCTATTACATCTGCCACTGCATCTTGATAATCTTCGTGTGGCTCCTCCTGGGTTCTCACCCTCTCCTATCTGGCTCACATGACTCTCATCTTCTGAAAAATCTATGTTTGAATCTCCCTCAATTATTCTGTTAAGAATTCTCTCCGCCTTTGTCAAAGAGTTGTCTACTAGGAAAAAGTGAAATAAAAATAAGTACAAAGTCCCGACGTGCACTAGAGTACACATTAATAAATTAGTCATTTCCTCTGTGAAACTAAATAAGCTTAATTCTTAAAAACCCCTCAAATTATTTACTAGATGTTTATTTTTGAAAATTAATCCAAATCTGATTTTAAAAAACATTTTAAATGTAAATATCATGCTTACCTTTCTTTCTTCCATAAAATGTGCTTGTGGGCATGCCAGCCATTTTGAAAAGGTGGGAAAAAAACAATTGGCAAGGCCACACCCCCACACATGTGATATCATTTTAAAGGTACTGTTGTCCTCTCTAAGAAACATCAGGACTTAGATGCGTGGCAAGTAGAGTATGAGAGCTACAAGCAAAAACTAAATGTGTACTACAGTGCACAAAAATGAATTACTGGGTCTCAGGAGGCTACACACACACAGTATGTATCACTCCGCGAGGCTCCTCCTCTGTAGCCTTAATTCTCCAACAATCCATCAAGCGGTGCAGCTCCATAGCTTAGCAAAGTCATATTAAAATTTTTTTTGACAGATTGCTGAGCGCTGTGTACCACATAAAATCGGTTCGCGGTCAGTAAGCACAACCAGAATTCATACATAAGGCGCACTGTCGATTTTTGAGAAAAGGAAAGGATTTTAGGCTGTCGTTAGCGCGGTTAGCTCGTTAGCGCGGTTAGCTCGCTAACACGTTGACGCCATCCAGCCCCACGCACGGTAACTCGCTAACGGAGATTTTCCGCTTTCATCTTGTCATTGCCTGCAGGTGAAGCTATGGGGGAGGGGGAGTTGTGTTCAGTGCAGGAGAGGCGAGGCCGAATAACGTTGCGTAGAGACAAAAGTGGACGAAAGAGAGGCAAACCTGCGGCTCCACAAGTATAATTATAACGTAACATAGACTATATCGATATAAACGATATTGTCACATCTTATATCTCATATGAAAATATATCGATATTTTTTAAAAACTCGATATATCGCCCAGCCCTAGTTGGGTCCCGTTTTTGCTTTCAGAACTGCTTTATTTCTTTGAGGCACGAGTTCAACTATGTGCTAGAAATATTCCTTACAGATCCTTGCTGTGCATATTGACATGATGTGAATCTGCTGATCCACCACATACCGAAGGTGCTCTATTGGATTGAGATCTGATGACTGTGGCTCCACAGTCACCAGATCTCAATCCGTTTTAGTACAGTGAACTCATTGTTATGTTTAAGAAACCAGTGTGAGACGATTTGAGCTTTGGGGCATGGCACATTATTCTGCTGGAAGCAGCCATCAGCTGATGGGTACACTGTGGTCATAAAAGGTCAGCAACAATACTCTTATAGGATGTTGCATTTAAACAATGCTTAATTGGTACTAAGGGGCCCAAAGAGTGGCAAAAAATATTCAACACCACAATAATACCATCACCAGCACCCGAAAGCATTCATACAAGGCTGGATGGTTCATGCTTGTTCTTTACTAGAAAATTCTCATTTTTCGAGACAAGGCAATGTTTTATTTGTTTGTTTCTTCTTCTTCAATTTTCTTTTGTCTAATCAGGTTGAAGCAGTGTGGCGATTTTCTTTTGTTATTGTTTTTAGATCATTCTCAGTAAACCCCAGAGCTGGTTTTGTGGGAAAATCCCAGTAGATCAACAGTTTCTGAACTACTCGGGCGATCGTGGCTCAAGAGTTGGGAGTTCGCCTTGTAATCGGAAGGTTGCCGGTTCGAGCCCCGGCTTGGACAGTCTTGGTCGTGTCCTTGGGCAAGACACTTCACCTGTTGCCTACTGGTGATGGTCAGAGGGTCCAGTGGCACCAGTGTCCGGCAGCCTCGTCTCTGTCAGTGCGCCCCAGGGTGGCTGTGGCTACACTGTAGCTTGCCATCACCAGTGTGTGAATGGGTGGATGACTGGATATGTAAAGCGCTTTGGGGTCCTTAGGGACTAGTAAAGCGCTATATAAATACAGGCCATTTACTTTTTTTTTTCTTCTTTTTTTTACTCAGCCTATGCAGCCAACAACCATGCCGTGTTCAAAGTCACTGAAATCACCTTTCATTTCATACTCTGTTTGATCGTTAGCAGATCGTCTTGACCATGTCTGCATGACTTGATTAGAGGTTGATTAGATATTTGTCTTAACAAGCAGTTAAACAGGTGTAGTGGTGGCCAAGTGAGCGTAGTATACTCACATTACTTTTAGAAGGCACTGTAAAAATGTTGAACTCAATAAATTGTTCACTATACACTGATTAGTAAGTAATTTTAAGTGTGTATTTGAATGCTAACAGCCTGTGCCTGAATATTGTGACATGCTAACTGTGAGCTTTTCACTTCTGACCTTGCAGGTTCCCTAAGGTTCTCTTTTCTTCAGGCACAGAAGAATGAAATGCTGAAATAATGTTTTGCTAATACTGTAGCAGTATTTATTTGGAAATCCAGCCTGAAACGTACAAGCTTGTATATCTTTGACATTGTAGCTGTTTGTTTTTTGTTTTTTCAGGACGGTCACAATGACTGGATATTCTCAATAGCATGGATCAGTGACAACATGGCAGTTTCTGGTGAGTTAGCACGATTCACATTGGAGGGAACATGGGTATTAATCAGTTTACTCTGTAGGGGCATACTAGGATTGTGCGTGTGCGTGCGTGTGCGTGTGCGTGTGCGTGTGTGTGTGTGTGTGTGTGTGTGTGTGTGTGTGTGTCTAGTAGGTCAGTAGTCTAGGCAATAATAGACCCTGTGCATGAGAAAATGCTTACTTCCTGTTTTAAGACCGGATGTAGGGTTGTACATTTCCAGTAGCTTTATTTTGCAGTCAATTGCTACTGCGAAGGTGGACTCAAAAGTCATGTCTAAAATACAAAAATGGAAAGATTACGTTAAGTTACAAAGAGCAGTGGGTGGGAACGCTCACCATTGCTGTGTCATAAAAAATCAAATGATTAATTTTGATGTTTGAAGAGCTTAGATCGATTGTTTGTTTACATCACTCAACACAAGCAGAACTGCATTACTGTATGCAGAAGACACATCGTCCACACTCAGAAGCACAGTATAGTGACAGTTCTTATGATTTAAACAGGAAATGTCCAGCATTCAAACTACAGGCGAACAATAGTCAAAGCCAGATGTTTCCCCGTTATGTCGATATCAGTACACACCTACACAGCATGTCAACAAACTGTGAAAAAAAGCCAGAGGATATAAAAAATACATGAATGATTGCAGGTCAGGGTCTCTATATGTTAGTATTTACGAAGGGTATGTTGTGACTTATCTTCACAATTACAGTGGTCCCTCGCTATAAAGCGGTTCACCTTTTGCAGCCTCGCTGTTTCGCAGATTCTTTTAGTGCAATTTTGCACTGTATTTTATTTATTTATTTTTTTTACCATACCACGCACTGGATTATAAAGTGCATTAAGCTTAAATTAAGCAATGACGCTTAAAGTTAAATTCATTTGTTCTAAAATCTGTCATTATTATTTATAGAAAAACAAATAAACTGTTTGTTTATTTCTCAAAAAAATGTTTGGGACTGAAAACAGGTTTTGATCTTTGGTTTCATTCTATAATGGACTTTTTTTTTTTCTTTTTCTTTTTTTTTTTACGAAGGTTTGAACTTTGAGAGTTTAAACAAGAGAGAAAAGTGTGAAACTGTTCATGCCTGTCTGAGAAAAGTGTATAAAGTGTGTAGTGAGGGGTTTTACAGCCTTAAAACATCTAAAATAATTGTAAAAAATAAAGCTGGCTATTTCACCTATTGCTGGTTATTTTTGGAATGTAACACCCGCGATAAACGAGGGAACTCTATATACAAGTACTGAGAAATTTCAATCCCTTCTCTCTTTTGCTCTGAGGCGCAAGGGTAAAATATCGACAAGTCGATGAGCATCATCTACAGATATATTCAGTAAATGTCCAAGACATTTTGAGAAATGTAAATCGCCGCTTGATTCATCCATTTGGTTGACTTTTCTTGGAAAATCTGACCGTAAACAAGACGCGAATATCACACCGGAAACGAAGCACCCTACAGGAGTTTCCCCACCGGAAGTAGCATATGCTAAGGTGCACATAGTCTATAGGCATGAGCTCTGTTTGTCTTAATCTGTAGGGTCCAGAGATGGCTCCATGGGACTGTGGGAGGTTACAGAAGAAGTAATGAGCCAGGCTGAGAGGAGTCAAAATGAGGAGACAGTGCCCTCCTATGCCCACATCTCCCACCGTGCCCTCAAGGACATCCCCAAGGAGTACACCAACCCATACAACTGTAAAGTCCGTGCTCTGGCCTTCAATAACAACCATAAAGTAAGACTCACCTACACGACTGTTGTGTGCAACAAAGTCTCCTTTTGCTGAATTTGCTCTTTAGGACGACAAAAGATTGGATGCACCAAACTTTTATATATTGTTTATAATGGCTATAATTTTAGCTAACCTAACAATTATCTTTCCTTAAAAGTTAAAAATATTTTTAATGAAACGCCTTTGCTCTAAATTTTTACATGTAGTATAGATTTATCTTGTTCTCTCAGCCTCACATCACCAAACAATTTCTTTTCTTTGTGGACTTTAAGGTTATTTAGGTTAATAAATAAACTTGAATCTGAGGTTTGTCAAATTGCATCTCAAAACAGTATCTAATGGCATCTAAAACGGTAAACAAATTTACCCATCGCTAAGTCAGGGTAGTCATTTATGCAACGAAGACCGACAGCTCTTAGAATTCTGAAGCCTTAGGTCTAGAAAAACTGACACACTCCTGTGTGTCAGTTTTTCTAGACCTAAGCCAATTATGACCTGCCTTTTCCTTTTGCATTTCCTCTTTTTCTTTTTTTTCTTTTTTTTCCCAGGAACTGGGTGCTGTTTCCTTGGATGGCTATTTCCACCTCTGGAAAGCTGAGCATAACTTGTGCAAGGTACAGTACATAGATTGACAAATTATAGTTTTATGTATTGGTAATTCTTTTTCCAACAAAGTGCTAGTTATTTTTAATATGCGATCAAAATGATAAATAGTTCTCTCATAATGCTAGGATTTTGTAATTCAGTTTCTTCAGTGTTAACAGTCTGTGTTGGTTTCTCTAGATACTGTCCACCAAGCTGCCTCATTGCAAAGAAAATGTGTGCCTGGCATATGGACAGGACTGGTCAGTGTATGCTGTAGGCTCTCAAGCCCATGTTTCTTTTCTGGATCCACGGCAACCTACACACAGCATCAAGTCAGTTAGTTCAAGAGAGAGAGGAAGTGGTAAGTCACCTGTTGGCTTTTGAAGTGAGCCAGTAATACAATCAAAGATTAGTTGAGCTATCTAAAACGCTGACTCAGGTTATTTATATGTTGCATGTTGTAGAACTAAGTGTGCTTTCAGTCAGGTTAGAAAATGTCATTCTGGCACTGCGAGTAGTAAAGTTGTGATTTAACATATTTTCCATATTGGTGGCAATAAATTTACAGTGGCGTGAGCTTGATTTAGCATTTTATCAGCCTGTTTACTCAAAGTACTTGACAAACTATTTTTCACACATACATATTTCTACAACACTTCATTCTGTGCACTTATGCTACAGTAACACTTGGGGGGGAAAAAGAGGTTGGAGACCATGTGGAACAAACTCATCTGCAACGGCATAAAGTCTGTTGCTGTCTTGAAAGTGACTGGTGCATCAGGACGGTAATAAAATGGAACTAAGTGGAAGTGTGTGATGATCAGGTTGTGTTTCAATAGGCAGAAATCGTCCATCAGCATCTGTTGCTGTCTGCATACACAGAAATTCACTCTACAGTGGCTTGCAAAAGTATTCGGCCCCCTTGAACTTTCCCACATTTTGTCACATTACAGCCACAAACATGAATCAATTTTATTGGAATTCCACGTGAAAGACCAATACAAAGTGGTGCACACGTGAGAAGTGGAACGGAAATCATACATGATTCCGAACATTTTTTTACAAATAAATAACTGCAAAGTGGGGTGTGCGTAATTATTCAGCCCCCTTTGGTCTGAGTGCAGTCAGTTGCCCATAGACGTTGCCTGATGAGTGCTAATGACTAAACAGAGTGCACCTGTGTGTAATCTAATGTCAGTACAAATACAGCTGCTCTGTGACGGCCTCAGAGGTTGTCTAAGAGAATATTGGGAGCAACGACAGCATGAAGTCCAAAGAACACACCAGACAGGTCAGGGATAAAGTTATTGAGAAATTTAAAGCAGGCTTAGGCTACAAAAAGATTTCCCAAGCCTTGAACATCCCACGGAGCACTGTTCAAGCGATCATTCAGAAATGGAAGGAGTATGGCACAACTGTAAACCTACCAAGACAAGGCCGTCCACCTAAACTCACAGGCCGAACAAGGAGAGCGCTGATCAGAAATGCAGCCAAGAGGCCCATGGTGACTCTGGACGAGCTGCAGAGATCTACAGCTCAGGTGGGGGAATCTGTCCATAGGACAACTATTAGTCGTGCACTGCACAAAGTTGGCCTTTATGGAAGAGTGGCAAGAAGAAAGCCATTGTTAACAGAAAACCATAAGAAGTCCCGTTTGCAGTTTGCCACAAGCCATGTGGGGGACACAGCAAACATGTGGAAGAAGGTGCTCTGGTCAGATGAGACCAAAATGGAACTTTTTGGCCAAAATGCAAAACGCTATGTGTGGCGGAAAACTAACACTGCACATCACTCTGAACACACCATCCCCACTGTCAAATATGGTGGTGGCAGCATCATGCTCTGGGGGTGCTTCTCTTCAGCAGGGACAGGGAAGCTGGTCAGAGTTGATGGGAAGATGGATGGAGCCAAATACAGGGCAATCTTGGAAGATTGAGACTGGGGCGGAGGTTCACCTTCTAGCAGGACAACGACACTAAACATAAAGCCAGGGCAACAAGGGAGTAGTTTAAAACAAAACACATCCATGTGTTAGAATGGCCCAGTCAAAGTCCAGATCTAAATCCAATCGAGAATCTGTGGCAAGATCTGAAAACTGCTGTTCACAAACGCTGTCCATCTAATCTGACTGAGCTGGAGCTGTTTTGCACAGAAGAATGGGCAAAGATTTCAGTCTGTAGATGTGCAAAGCTGGTAGAGACATACCCTAAAAGACTGGCAGCTGTAATAGCAGCAAAAGGTGGTTCTACAAAGTATTGACTCAGGGGGCTGAATAATTACGCACACCCCACTTTGCAGTTATTTATTTGTAAAAAATGTTTGGAATCATGTATGATTTTCGTTCCACTTCTCACGTGTACACCACTTTGTATTGGTCTTTCACGTGGACTTCCAATAAAATTGATTCATGTTTGTGGCTGTAATGTGACAAAATGTGGGAAAGTTCAAGGGGGCCGAATACTTTTGCAAGCCACTGTATCTGCTCGCACTCAGAGGGCAGCCAGAACTTCAGATTTGAAACCAAAATTGATAATTTCCTCCACAAGTAATGACATTTACTGTAATAATGCGCTTTAATCACAACATGACAGTGCTCAGCAGCCTTGCCTTTATATATAAAGGTATCCCGAATACCACCAGTTAGAAACCAGTTGAGGTGAATCCCCTTTTACAAAGAGACATGTCACAGATGAGTTGCGTTCAGTGATGCAGACTGACTCAGATTGATTGTAGTATGCTGGCAACCTGTCTGGGTTTATAAAATAGACGCAAGGTATTTGCAAACCTTGCAATTGAAAGAGGTGGCCAAAAGGGCAGAGGATGTTCCACACTCAGACTTGTTGGTCAATGCAACTAACACTAGTCTTTGACAGCGAGGGGGAAAAAAAACTTTTTACTTTGCATTTTTACTTGCAGCCAATGTAGAATCACAAGTTAACCTACCATGCACATCTTTGGACTGTGTGTGTGAGATTGACCTGGTACCACTACCACTGGGGTGTGTTACTGGTTTCTCCTTTAAGTTAGTTTTCAACTGATGGCACAATATAAGTCACCCTCATACTTGCTTAGTATGAAGTTTAAATGATGATTGCCTTCCAATGTGTCAAACATATCCATAACAATTGTATTTTTCACCGTGATATAAAAGTTGTAACGTACTCTGTCTGGTTAGAAATGAAAGCAGAGTTCCAGAGGATTCCGACAGTTGGAAAGCTCAAACGGTGGGAGGGTAGATGTTGACTGTGTAGCTTTACATTGGCATGTCTTTCTGTCTGTGCAGGCATCCGTTCAGTGAGTTTCTATGAGCACATCGTGACTGTGGGTACTGGCCAAGGTTCTCTTCTCTTCTATGACATCCGGGCTCAGAGATTCCTGGAGAACCCTTTTAATCCAAACGGAGGGTATCGGAAGTGCCCTGGAGATGGCATCCTCAAGCTCACTACGGGAAAAGGCTGGCTGGTATGCAGTTTTGTTTTTTTGTTTTTTCCAAATCAAGCAGTGAACTGTGGTCAGTCAAACTGTAGTTGGTGTACATGTGCAATGTCTTTGCCCACTTACCCTCTAATATTCCTTTCAGAATCACGATGAGACGTGGAGGAGTTACTTCTCAGACATTCATTCATTCCCCAATGCAGTGTACACCCACTGCTATGACGACTCTGGCACCAAGCTGTTTGTAGCAGGTGGACCGCTCTGTTCTGGCCTGCACGGCAACTACGCAGGATTGTGGAGCTAGCCTCTTCTTCTCCCCCATCACTTTGTCACTACATCTTCGTCCAGATCTTTACTCATCCAGTCCCTCCATCCCTCTTCAACTTCCAACCTTCTCTGTTTTCGGTGTACCTTTTGTCACCCTGTTTTGCTCACACTTGGACTCAGGAGCATGATATTTTCTTCATTTTATCACGGCTTTCAGTATTATTGTTGTGTATATTTGTCCACCATTCCACCGTTCTTTCTCCTTAAACAATTCCTTTGCACTTCAGCTACTTTTTTGTTTGTTTGTTATTTGTTATTCTTTTGGTTTTTTTTTAAATATAAATATATATATATATAAAAATGTACAGACTATTACTAATTTTCAATTGCTGCAAGGTCTGCCACTGAGGACGTCAGAAGAGTTCTGGAAAACATTAAGAATAAAGTTCTCATCTTCTAAAGGATTTACATTCAACCTGCAGGGATTAGGCTGTGGTTTTTTGCTGGTTTGTTTTTGTACATACAGATGGCATTTTACCACTTTCTCTGTGAAAAATGACCATGTCTTTAAACAGACAGCAATAAGAGAGAGGGTGAAGGGTTGGAGAGACTATTAATATAAATGGACTGAACCTAGAGAACTGTTTGATGTTGGAAAAGCCCACAACAATCACAAAGAACTTCTCCAGTCAGAAGTATAAAAGAAGGATCCAATCAAAGTGGGATTGTGTGTTCATCTTATCCTCACTGAGATGATGTAAAGGAGATATGTTCAAGCTTGCTGAATTGCAGTGTTGTTCTGTTAGGAGGGGGGGAGGGCATATTAAATTTTTTTGGACTGTGTGATTAGACCAGCACATCCCTGCTGATATTCTGATTTGCTTTGTATTTATTTTTCCTTTTTTTTTTTTTCTTCTTTTTTTTAATACCCCCCCCCACCTCCAATGTTTCCACTCCCTTTGATCAAAATTGTACAAATCCTAACATGTAATCACTCTTGTGTTACTAGAGAGTTTACTCTAAGATTATAGGTTTTGGTAGCGAGTTAAATATCATCCAGTATGATGATTAATAGACAGAGGAGCCTTTAATGAGTGAACTCAAACCTCGTGATTCTCGGGCTCCTCGAGGAACTGAGAAGAAGCTGTGTAGTAGCTCAGTTTGGTCTTCTCAGCCGTCCAGCTATGAGGATGCAAGGAAAGCTAATGAGAATTTGAGCTATACCCTGGAGTTAAATGCTGCAGGCACATACACTTGTTGTCAGTTGTAAAACTTTTATTTCCTCTTATTTTTTTTGTACTGAGGAGCGGGTGAATCTGCTCTTCTTCTTTTTTTGTTTGGTAGAGGCAGGGTAGGCTTGAGTTTAGTTTTTGCCTTCAAGTCTTTCTGTGAAAGACTGCCACAGGCAATCATAGGTTTCCTGTTCTACATGGAACTTTTCTCCAGTTTTCATGATAATGATTGACAAAAAAAAAAATCCTAATTACGACCAATTGAACAAACAACCAACACTTTTGAAGTGTATTTTATATATAAACGTGTATATGTATGTGTAAAATACATAAGGACAATTGCATACATTTTTATGTACGTGTCTGAGAAAGTGTGGATTGATGTGTCTACTTGGTGATGCCCCCCCCCCCCCTTTTTTTTTTTTTTTTTTTTTTTTTTTTAAATATATACACACACCTCATGAATGTTTTTACAAATGGCTGAATTTGAGGATATTGTAACATAAACATTTCGGGAAAACAAGCTATTAAATCTTTAAAATGAATAAATAATAAAAAAAAAAATAGGATGTATATTGGTGTAATGTGCTTTTGTGTTTTGGGGGGGTTGTACTTGACATAACTACCTAGAGGATTTCCTCTTGACATAAAGGGTGCAGAAAGGTCACTTACTGCAGCAAAACAAGTTAAAGATAAAAACGATCAGAACTCATGAGATTTAGTGACAATATTTAGTAACTTGTTTGTGCCAGCACAAAATGCAAAAAGGATAACTTGTGATAGAAACTGAAATTTAAAACCTGAATTCTCAATGAACTCCTCATGAGTTTTGGGGAGAAGAACCAACAGGACCAAGCAGTTATAGAGGATATGCAAGTAATGATTAATGAAGCACTGCACCTACAGACATAGGAACAACAGGAAGAAATGCAAAGAGATGCAAATATCCAAGATTTTAAGAAGAAAAATACAGATTTGCAAGTATTTTACAAAGAAGGACAAAAACAAAACAACATTGAAATCAAGAAACAGAAAGAACACCTGAAGGATCCAAGGACTGCATAACAAAGTACAAGAGAGAAACACTGAAATGCAGGAGGAGAAGCGAGGATGGGCATAAACACTTAAAGATGCTCAGTGTACACATGGAGAGGAGGAAGCAGGAGTTATAAGCCATCTGTAAAAAAGTACAACAGAGATATGAAGACATGCACAAAGCAACGAAAGTAAGAGCAATATTAAAAAAAAGAAGAAAGAGCGTTAAGATAAAAAATGTTGAAGCACAGACAAAAGATCCACAAGAACTGTGCTTGAAAATGATAAGCAGCACTTTGCTGCTTCTTCAGCTCAGTCTGGACAAGAGTAGCCTCCTCTCCCTCCACCCTCTCTCTCCATTTACCCTTTCTCTTCTTCTCCTTCCTCCCATCCTCCTCCATCCTTTATTAACCCTTTCCCCTCTCTTCTTCATCCTGTCTCCCTTTGTTTTCTTTGAAAAAAGTTTTTCCTTCCCACTCTTGCCTACTGCTTATTCATAGGGGATTGTTGTTTTTCCCCTCTACTTTTTATTCCTTTCTTCACCCTCTTTTGCCCTTCTACCCTTCCATTACACTTTTATGTTGTTCTTTTAATTTCCTCTATAACCCCCAACATGTTTCTACGTCCTTGGGAACAAAGGGTGGGGAGATCACTAAACACAGTTAATCATATTTCTACATATCTCTGCCTCTCTGCATAATGTGTTAAGTGTATAAGAAAGTTCAGTCATATGATGTATTTGCTTAAAGCTATGTCAACCAGTCATGCTGATCATGTTGATAGCAATAAGCAAGAAAAGCCGAACAAGTTAAACTGAGCTTTACTGAACGTGACTCCCTGTGTTAAGATGATACAGATAGATAAGGGTGCTAGTGGTTTCATTCAAGAATAAATCACCTTTATTAGAAAATAAAAATTCAAGAAAAGACTCACTTTAATCATTTACCTTGATTTTATTATGAAATACATGCATTAGTGTTCACTCATCCTATTTCTGTGGCATGATAAATGGCAAATGAAGAAAGTACAAGAACAGGAAAGTGTATGCAGAAGAGCCTCTGTGATTGAAATAATGTCACACCTAGAAAACGATGGGGGACTGCATCAAAGAACCACACCAGGTGGCACTCTTGTCAGCTGTTAGAGACTTGTTTGCTTGTGATGGTGTTAAAGGACATTATCTAGGTTGCAGTTGGTGGTTAAGTAAAAACATGTAGTAAAGCAGGCAGAGATGATGAAGGATGATGCAAATGGATGTTTTCCATTCCAGACTGGATTGTTGTGCAGATTTCACTATAATATTCAAAAGAAGCCTCAAGTATGGCTGGCTTGTTCTTATTCCTGTAACTTGACTCTTAACCCTGGAAGTATTGGCAAAGCTTTATAGAATCCTCATACATGAGCGCTGGCTTTTCAGTTTTTCAGACTCCAGCTAAGCCAAAACAGTTATTTTTCACCACTGAAGAAGCAGCAGCAAACGCTCTATGGTCCAGGTAGGTATGGCAATGGTTTGCCATTGTTATCATGATTGTGCATCTATGGTTAATTCCATCAAGACAGTAAAGCTAAATTAAAAACAAAGTTAAAAGGAGCCACTAATGGTTGTTCATTTGTTGGCTATGATTGTGAAATAAAGGCTCTTATATATATTTGACATTTATTCCAGTTATTCACTTTACATTAAGTTTTACTTCAAGTTTTAGCATCTTTCTTACGTTTACTCCAGAGTCACTTAGCCAAGTCAGGCATTGTAGCTTTAAGGAAAACCATCACTAGAACCCTGCAAAGGACTGGACTACGAGGTTGCAGACCAGGAAAAACTCCACTTCTGCAGGTGAGACACCTTCAAACCAGACTCAAGTATGCTAAGGTCAATCTAGAGAAAGATTATGCATACTATAAAGTGTGTCCTTTGGCCAAAGAAATGCTGCTGATGTTTAGAGAAAGAAGGGCAAGCAACCCAAAGAACACCGTCCCCACAGTGAAACACAATGGTGGGAGTATTATGGTGTGGAGATGCTTTAGTCAGTCTGGAACTAGGAATCTCGTCAAGAAAGAAGGAATATGTGTGATGAACTGAAGACCAAGGTCCATGCCAGAAGACTGTCAAATCAGGAGGAACTTGAGAGAGTCACCAATGAAGAATGGACATGTTCATATGGGGGGGATTATTTACCCTCAGATCCTGAGCCCCCTGTTACTGTGCGTAAATACACAATGCTCTTGTTTTTCTACAGGCTGTGTGAGGCTGATGGAACTTATGAAGTCAATTTTGCATATTTTAAGAGTGATGCATTAATCCAACACACTAACACAGTCAAACTTTGCCATATTTGCTATATTTTGACGGATTCATGGTATTTATGGGTGTGACAGAGAAAAGTTTAAAAAAAAAAAAAAAGCAGACAACAACAACAAAGTACATGTAAATTGCTCTTTGTGCGCACTCCTGAGACATGCATACACGTTTGAATTCTGAACTAAAGTAGGCAAGAACTAAAGTAAACAGGCTAAAGTAACCTACGGGTATTATTAATGAAGGGCAGAAAGGGAGACAGCTGTAAACACTCAGCATTTGGATTAGGTGAAGTGTTACAGGACAGAGCAAAGGTTTAGCACTGTGTTCACAGCTATCAACCTGTCACAATTACGCACTCTGATAACATTTCCCCCTCTCATTAAAAAGAAATGAACTCTCACGCTTTGACGAATTTCACAAACAAAGTAACGTCTGCTTCTTTCAGCGTTAAATTGAGTGTTAGGCAGTGTGCAGCAAACCAGTAAATAAGGGTTGTGTGAGTCATTTAAATATTTTCCTCTCAAATTTCTGTGCCGTTAAAGGGAAACTCTTACAATTACATATACAATAAGGCCAACCACCAAAATACCTGCTGTGTCCGCGCCAGTAATAGTTATTTTTACAGTTCATGTGTATTTGTAAGATTTGCACTGTTTAAGATTTTCAGTCAAAAATCGTTCCATATTGAACATAAGTGAAGTCATACAGCTCAGTACAAAACACCACACTCGTGTAGTTTGCTTTCTTCTTCTAATATTCAGCAGTAAAATGTCTGTCAAAATGCTGTAATTAATGGAGCTCAAAAAGATCTACAGTATGTCTAGATTGATGTCTGAATCTAACTTTAAAAGACAGCATTGCAAAGAGGAACAGTTTGCGTACATGGCACAGTGCGTAAATGCGCATATGGATGAATTCTGCCTCCACATTAGCTGAAAAATGAGAGATGACGTTAACTCTGTGAAAAATGGCAAATTGAAAATTCTCCAGATAATAAGTGAGGGAGAGAAATCAAAATCAAAGAAACACAGGCAAGAGATGTAAGCAATATGAAAGTGCAGACGCTTTATGCCCTTAAATCCAGCCTTACATTTGATCACTTTCGCTCAGTTAAGCTTAATAATGTAAACTTGACACTCTGGCGAGATTAATGCCTTATAAACAAATATGTCAAACGTGTAGGCGATTGGCAAATATCATTGCACTTATGTACATTATCATAGCATTATCTGATATACGTAACTGTGTGCGTCTTCAAAAAGCACACCACGATTAAAAATCCAGTAAATCTGCGTTTTTACTGGACATCGCTGATGGTAAAACCTGAGAAGTTTAGTTGTGACCTGGAGACGAGAGATGAGCATCCACCGCGGCACCACGCGTCACGTGATCATCCTGTCTGCTGCTGGCCGAGTGAAGCGTGTTAGCAGGTAATAAAAACATATTTTCTTGCGATTTTCAACTCAGGTTTGTGTGTTTTCGGGTATTTTAATTACGTGCTTGTTGTCTTTTTTTGGTGACGCACCGGGTCGCTGGCTTTTCTGTTTCGTTTTCTCGAGGTTGTGAAGGATGTTTTTTCGCAATTTTTCTGTTGTCTTGTTTCCCGGCGAGCAATGTCGGGATGGGATTGTGCTTCGCTACGAGGCCTTTGCTTTAGATTTCGTGTACCTTTGTTGTTAGCTTGGTTAGCGTCTAGTTTACATGTTTGCGGCACGTCTGGTTTAAAGGCAACTGTCATAACATGGCGGTGTCGACCTTTAAATGCATATAAAGCTTAAAGAAGCCAGTTAGACCGCCGTTGGCTATCAACTTGGACCAGATTTAGATAGCATCGTTAGCTATCCGCGATCCCACTCCATCGTTTGTTCACTATCGACGCTACGGTCTCAGCGTTAGCAAGCTGGTAGCTAACTTCAGTTCTTGCTAGCGAGGACAAAGGGGACCATAACACCAAAGGCACAAAGTCGGTTAGTATTCAATCTAAAACGATGCTACGTGAATCTGATTTATTTTTCAAAGAGCGATATGGGATGTTAGCCGTTACCAAAGTGTCTCATTGTTAAACTCGAAATATAAGTAACAGCAGCGGGCTAATGTTAGCATTGGTTCAAAACAACCCTCCGCTTCCTTCGTTACTGGAATAATAACCTGTAGATAAATATAATTTAGACATTTGTAAACAGATATAAGTTAATGTATATAAACACGGGGCTTCGTGGAACTTGTCTCTGATTTGATATTTCTGGTTGCCAACATAAATATAGTAGGAATTGCGAAATGCTGTTAGTGGATTATTGTTTTGTTATCGTTTGTGGCCATGACTGTCGATACCCGTAATTGCGATGTAGTAATATTTTTATCATATATTTTTATTAAATATTTTTATTATATATACTTCATATATTCCCAAAGTCAAAAATATTTTTTTTTCTTGCTTTTTTAAAAGCTAAAATTCCTTTTGAAGCTTGGTCGTCCTTGTGCGTTAAGCTTTGTTCAGTCCAGTAGCCAATGGCAGCTTTGTATTTGCAAACGTCATTCAGGCACTTGCTATTGTTCTCTGACATAAAACAAAGTGGGAGAGTGGGAACATCTGTAGTCGTCCTTATGATGGACACTAGTGAAAATTCACTGGTAAACGTTGCAGTACAGAGTACTGAGAAGTCACATTGGCTGTATGCTTATGGGTAAATAAAGCCTTCCTTGTGGAAGTGATTCTGATACTGCTTACTATGTGCTTTTAAAAACATGTTAGCTGGTGCCAATGTAAAACAAGATCTGTATTGCACAGGACTATAGAAGTATAGAGAAGAATTCAGTATTTCACTGCAGAAGTTTGGTGCTTGGAGTGTGTACAACAAATTTGCTTTAAACTGTCTAGAAAAGCAAGGGGTGTGGGGTCAGGGTGTGTAGTGTTTGTTCTGCCTCGCACACACAGAGTTCTGTGCTGTTTGTAAGAGGACACTGGGTTGCTTTCCCTCCTTGACCCAGATTTTCAGCAAAGCTGTTGCGTCACCAGGCCAACTGTGGGGCTTACAGCCTCCATAAGGGGAGTATTCATATTTGTCCAATAAGGCTTAGGTATACCCACAGCACATACTTTTGGCATTCGGACTTATTCAAGAAAAATAAAAACAAACACTGACGCTCTATTCTAGCAACACAGTAACTGCAGTGTTATTTTCCTTTCCGTTCACTCATCAACACATGTTGTGTTTTCCTTCTGCAGATTTTTCTATTTTGTACATACAGAGTTTTGTATATACTGTATATGATGAGCTCGCTGGGCGGCGACAAGGCCCGGAGCCCTCGGGAAAAAGCGCTGCCAGCTTCCGCTCACACATCACAACCACAGAAACAAATACAGGTGAGCCACTGCATACCTATAACCACAGTTCTTTGAAATGCTGACATTGTAAGAGGAAAAAAAGCAAAAAAAATCAAAGCCCAACACAACCATGACAAGCAATTTATCTGACGATCAGTACTGAAAAGTATTTTCTTTTGTTTTGATTGCAGCTTCACAATCATGCACTTTATATTGTGACAATATAAAGTGATTTCAGACAATTCAAAACAAAACAAACATTTGAATCCATTCTCTTTATATTTCACATACTTTATTCCTCATTTTTCTCTTGGTAAAAGCTGTCCAATTGTTTCTGTGTTACAGGCTACTGCTGAGCAGATCCGGCTTGCTCAGATGATCTATGACAAGAATGATGCTGACTTTGAGGGCAAAGTTAACCAGGTTAGTGACCCTTAAGTAGTTGTCAGACTGTGTGGGGCTTATGTCAGACTCTTAGGGAGAATCAGGCTATGTTTTCATGTTCTTCCGTTAATCTACATTGTGCAATTTGTTTTTATCATTTGACATTACTAATCTTGTTTTCTAATGTTTTCTTTTTTCTTTTTTAACCAAGCTGATGGAAGTGACGGGGAAAAACCAGGATGAGTGCATGGTTGCGCTCCATGATTGCAATGAGGATGTCAGCAGAGCCATCAACTTCCTCCTGGAGAGCAACACAGACATGGTAAATGACAACTTTAGGTGAAATAAACGGAATAAATGCAAAGTACACATATAGAGCCTTTAATCTGCTTTTGACTGTTCATAACAGCCTCTGTTTGATGGTTTTTGAGATGTCTATTTTTTTTCTTTTGTTGAGAACAAGTTGCTGAAACTTTAAAACAAATGAAACATGAACATTTTGGTGTCATTTAATGGCATCATCAGGGTTTGCTAGCTGCTATCATTGTGTATACTCAGGCTGTATAGTGAAATGTTCAGTACTGTCACTTTCAAATTTTCATGTACTCTTAAAGTGGAGTGTGAGCCATTGCTCTGGATTTGAAGAGAACCTTATTGGTTAAAATAGAATTTAAGTAGTGTCATCTGAGCTCTGTCAGATATGCACATATCCACTAACATCAGTCTCTAAGCTGCGCTGTGTCCCTGTGAATACTTGTGTGACTTTTTTTTTTTTTAAAATCATGAACTGTTGTACAAAATTTTTCTTGGTCTTCTGTTCCGAGCGCAAGGTCAAACAGGCCACTAAATGCCTGGCAAGCACTTGGGTGTTGTGTCTGAACGTCTCAGCAGATTTGAAAAATACCAGCTGGCTCAGATGTTGAGGAAAGACTGTCAGGCTCGACTATCAGTATTGTTTTTGCTTTCATGGAAGCCCAAAAATAACAAATAGCTGGTTTTCCGTCTTACCTGGAAGTCTCTACTGTAATGCTATCATTGTTACGTAATCTGAAACCTGTACTGTTCACTATGTCATAAAGAAAGAGATGCTTCTGAAACATTTTTCTTATGCTGTAGGAGTAGTTTCACAATAAGGAAAATTGTTCTGGTATTTATTGTATTTATTTACACGTCACTGCATAGGGGTGGTCAAAAATCATCAACATCGCATCTTTCTTTTTCATGTTTTTCAGTGCCCTCTAATATCTGGCATGGCATGTCTTGGAGCAAAATACACAAGTTCATGTTGGGTTACCATTAGGCCTGTGGCATATCATATCATCTGCTATAATACGACAAAAGTGCCATATCACGGTACCAGTGATATGAGGACGCCGTGACTTAGGTTTCCCAGCATGGACAAGCAGACAAGCTCAAACATGTCTGACAGTGAGAGGCTTTTAGTAAGAAAGGGAACTACTTTGGTAACTTCCAACAAAGCACAATGCTCTGGCAAAATACTCAAGAAAAAAACTGTTCCCGCTAAAGGTGGGAACAACAAACTTGTTTCACCACTTGAAGCAAAAACATACCATTGAGTAGAATCAACCTAAGAAGGCATGTGTGACTCAAAAGTAAACAAACAGTTTAACCAGGCATAGCCGGAGCACTCGCTAACTGCACTCCATTTGACGGGAAGAACAAGAGGGGATTGCGATTACTAATTCAGTTAAGTGGTGGTGAAGGAGGGCTGTAAGCAGCTGATTAAAGAGCTGGTTAAAATACCTAAAACCTCAATTGAAAACACTACCTAGGAGTTACCTTTTAAATTGGGCAGTCTGCCATCAGTAGCTCATTGGAAAAGGATGTAAAATACCCTTCATTTTCTTCACAATAATAATTGCTGCTGCCTGCAGCTGCAATCACAGATAAAATGTTATTCAGTATCTTTTGTTTTGTTTTTTTCCTTTTTCCTTTTAAATTAAAGCTGCTTTTGAATGCTTCAGTGCTGGTATCTTGTTTTACCCCACCATATCTCTTTGATTTGGTACAGGTCTCCATCCCATCCCGGTGCCTCAGATCCTCCTCTTCTCTTCTTCTTCCTGTTCCTTCCTTTTGTCTTATTACTACCATGGGGGGCAGGGCTTTTAGTTGCTCTGCCTCTCAACTTTGGAATTCCTTACCCCCTGACCTCAGAAACATCACTTCTTTCCCCCGTTTTAAGTCCACCCTCAAAACTCACCTGTTCAAGATAGCCTACTCTGTATAACTTCTCCATGCTCTTAAACTTTGTTTTATTATTGTGTTCATTTCCTGTTTTTATGCTTGTCTTATTTGCTCTTATTTGCTTGGGTGTTTTGAAATAAAATGTATTATTATTATTATGTTATTAATCCAGTACTGTTTATTTAAGGTGTCAGTGTTTAATTAAAAAAATCCTTTTCTGTGTTCAGACCTCATGGGAAACAGTGGGAAAGAAGAAGCCCTTGGTGAAAGAAGGCCCATCAGAAAGCAAGGAGAACAAGGAGAACCGGGAGAAGAAGGGCGAAAGGGAGGCTAGCAAGGGTCGTGCCACTGGCAACCGCAAAGGCAAGGGGGCCAGTCGGAGCCGACAGGGTAAGGAACTTCAGTTTTTCAATTTTCAGTATTGTTTGTCCTACTGTTCATGTTAGTCACTTTTCTTTTTTGTTTCTACATACATAGCACGTCCAGAGGAGAACGGTGTTGAGGTGACACCAGTGGACAAAGGCTCGGATCGAGGTCGGAGGGTCAAAGGTGGAAGAGGTGAGCAGATGCACCAACACAGCACTGTCAATATAGCGAACACTTGAGGGTAAGTTGTTAACCTTTGTGTGACTATTACACAGGATCTGGAGTTCGAGGTCGAGGGAGAGCACCAACAGGAAGCAGGTTTTCAGCCCAGGGGATGGGGTATGCTGGATCATGCGCACGCACGCACGCACGCACGCACGCACGCACACACACACACACACACACAGTTTCATTCTTCTAAGAGTTTTAGGTGAAAATTAATACGTTTTCAATGAGAATGAAGATGTTTCATTTAGAAACTAACAGGATAAATGCATTCTGACAGAAATCTGAAGGCCAAGCAGCCAGGAGGGGGAAAAAAAGCCTGTTGTTAAGGTTTTTTTAAAACCCTGTAACTACGCACATTCTCATCTGGCAGTATTTTCTATTACTTCTATTACTAGAAAACCACTTTTTGTGTGTGTGTGTGTGTGTGTGTGTGTTTGTGTGTCTGTCTCAGTATTTGTCTCCTTAAATCTTCTCCAGGACTTTCAATCCTGCTGACTATACCTCAGAGGCTGGGACAGGGACCACACAAACAGAGGTTTGGGACACAACGACCAACAACAGCACAGATGGAACAGGTGAGCTCAGGAGAACACACATTCACATACAAACAGCTCATGGCTTATATATCCAGGTGTGTGCCCACAGAGCAGACAGGACCGTTATCCCTATCAGAGTTTGCATACTGCTTCTTGTACACCTGCTTATTCTGTCTGCACTTCTCACTTATTACTGGTTGTCCTCTAGTTGCCTGGAGGAATACTTTGGAAGACTGGGCAGCTGAGGATTGGAGTGAGGATGTTAGTGTGAGTTGACACAGTGTCACACATTACAGACTGGTAGTAGCAGGTATGTTTTGATGGTGTAACAATTGTGTGTCTGTCTTTGTGTCCTTCTGCAGCTCTCAGAGACCAAAGTGTTCACCTCCTCATGTGCACCTGCTGCTGAGAACCACATCACCCCTGGGCAAAGGTGTGTAACTTTATATTTTACACTTTTCTTGGGCAGGGGGGTCAAGAATTTCCTGTTAAGAGATGTTATATTAAATTTTTGCTTCTTCTTCTTCTTTTTTTGCTGTAATATATTTTCTAATTGGCTGAATGGACTCTGTCTGTTAGTCTGGACCTCGCTTCTCTGCTGCAGAAGCCTGTGGTTGGAGCAAGAGAACCACCTTCTTCTTCCTCTCAGAGTCTGGTCTTTACTAACTCCCATCATCACCAGCAGCAGCCCCACAGCCGCAGTGCCACCAGTAGCACAAGCTACGCACATGCTGCTCTGGTAAAAATACACTCTACACTCCTTCTCATGTCACATGGTCTTTGATCTGCCATGTGTTGTACAGAGATCCAGAAACAAAGATTGATGACTCTGTTTTCTCCTCTTCTGTGCCAGTCATCAGTGCTGGGAGCTGGTTTTGGGGACTTGGGCCAGGCTAAAAGGACTCAGGCCAGCCCTGGAGCTCAGATACTGGAACAGCTGAAGGGTCCTGGCTTGGGTCAGCTTTCCTCATCCCAGGCAACCCCTCCTGTCAGTAGCCAAGGAAGCAACACTTCTATTGGTCGACTGCCAGGCCTGGGAGCACCTGTACCTCCACCCTCCTCCTCTAGCTGGGACATGAAGACTTCAGAATCCAACACCACCTCACTGTCCTCACAGTACAGCCGTAGGTGTACAAATGAAAAAGTGGTGCTCACTTTTTTTTTTCTTTTTTGTTTATTACATAAGCATTTATATTCACTTATTTCAAATCTGTTCCCGGCTCCTTCTGGTTGTTGTGAATCTGCAGGTGAGTTTGGTCTGCAGCCAGAGCCTTCTCTTGTGCTGAGTCAGCTGGTTCAGAGGCACACGGGCCCCTCCTTGCCTTTGGCGCGTCAGACGAGTCCACAATCGCAACAGCAAGCACCATCTGCTTCAGCCTCGCCTGCTCCCCAACACACCAGCACTCCAGCACAGGCAGGCCCGGTGATGGCTCCTGCTGGTGCTAAACCTCTTGCCCCGAATGCAGGGCTGGACCCTCAGGGCAACAGCACGACACAGCAGCAACGGGTACAGCTCAAAGGCCAGAAACGAAGGATACCTCCCACGTCAAAGGTAAACAGATAGCAATGGCCTTAAGCTCTCAGATAAATACTTAGTTACTCACGAACCTTATGGCCCGCATGGGGTTTTATTTTTATTCTTTTATCCTTAAGTGTGCTGTTATTATTAGAATTTTACTTTTGAGTCAAACCAAAGTCATCAGTTTTACACACTTTATATCCAGGTGCTAAAACTTGTTTCACTTTCTTTCTGAAAGATCCCATCCACTGCAGTAGAGATGCCAGGCTCAGCAGATGTTCCTGGACTGAACCTCCAGTTTGGAGCGCTAGACTTTGGCTCGGAATCGGCGTTGCCAGAATTTGGAGTCGTGGATAATTGCGTGAGTGCAGCATCGAGGGAGTCCACGTCGGCCCCTGCCCCAGCACCACCTGCAACAGGACCGGGGGCACAGAGCCAGACGAGCCTGTACTCTAAACCGCTCAGGTACTGTGTCGCCTCTGATCACTTATTAAATCTTTCTAAAACAATGCAAGAGCGACGCATTTAACAAGATGTATCCCCAAAACACTGTGTATGTCAGATGCTGTGTAAAAGATGGATTTAATCATAGATGACTCAGAATGGAAAATGGTACATAAAGTTTTAAACTGTCAACCTATCTGTACTTTTCATTTTGGTGCCTTGCAGTGAGTCACTGGGCAGCCCTCTCTCGGTGGCCCTGTCTTTGCCCCTCTCCTCATCAGAGCCAGTTTATCACTCCTCCACAGTGGCTTTGCCGAGTCTCACCTCCTCATCGTTAGGGACCGCAAGCTCAACCAACACTCCTTCCTCCTCTTCAACAACCTCAACCACCTCCGCCTCTGTACCTTCCTCATCTCCCTTCTCCACGGTGGGGGGGAGCTATGATGGGACCATGCCCCCTCACACAAGACTGGCATTTTCTCAGAACAAAGAGGCCACGGGGCCAGTGATGGTGAGTAAAAGGGACTAATGAGCAGTAGTTCACAAAATCTGTCCTCAAAGGTGGTAATCTTTGAATGGAGAGGGGGGATAAATTAATCTTTGACCATTTTCTATCTTTGAGGTCATTGGTCATCAACGCAACCAGACAGTATTACTTCCTGTTGTAAAAACAGTGTCACTCAGAAATTACAGGTCATGAGTCATTTGCTCAGTCTCATACTAACTTCCTGTCAAACATGATAAATTTGTTTAGGGTTGATTTCCACTGTCTTGCCAAATAATGTCAACTCTGAATTGAATTCAAGTTTTGTTGATACAGTGTGTTTGTAGATGCTGTAAACGTTCTTATCTGTTATCAGTGAATGAAAACACAGCTGCTCTATATTTTCTTACCACCAGAACGGTTTGAATGGTGTGAGGACTTCTGCTGCTCTGGACAGTGAGTTACTTTTGATTAATTGGTCAGTTGAATGCATATTTGTTGCTCTTTACAAATGTCAACATTCTTCATTTGGCTAAGCTCATTCAGGTTATTTACACGATTATGTACTCCCAATCTCAGCTTCATCAGCTTCTTCTACACCAAAACCAGAGTCACCGTCTATGAACATCAGCACCAACGGCGCCTCAGCTCCTTCCTCCCATTTACCGTCTACCATGCCTCCACACAGCTCCACCACGCTCTCCGGCCTGGCAGCGGACCTGCCCTCAGTCAGCCAACTCAACTCACTCAACAGGTGACACACTTAAACACACACAGTAACTTAGTATAGCTTTAATTTAGACATTTGTGTTCCCTACTCCGAAAGAGAATACATACTGTTTGGGTACCCGTTACCATCTGCCTGCTGTTTCTTCCAAATGGTTGAAAGATTTTTTTTTCTCAGTGTGTCATCTTTAAAAAAACAACAACAAAACAAACGAACAAAAAACCAACCTCTTGACTTGTAGTGCCTCCTTGTACACTTGCTAATGATCACACATTCCACTGTGCCTTCCCTCTGCAGTCATGTCAGCAGTCATTCCTCAGTTTCAGCTCTGGGCTCCAGCTCTCACACTGTAAGTACCTGTTTGTTCTCTGTGTGATTTCCTCTGCAGCTTAATAACATGGAATTATAACAGGCTGATGTGCCAAAGTCCTAATAAAAATAAAGCCAAAGTAGGCTTAAAAGCATAAATGTCTTGATTATTTGGGGAGGGGATCCTAGGTAAAGGACCCCCTGCCATCTGGGTGTCTCCAGTTTAATAACCAGTATAGGCAGCATGCCTTAAGAAATGAAATCTGCAGAATAAATCGAATAGAACTACTTCAATTCAAGCCACTTCTTTTGTTTCTTTGTCTACAGTACACCAGTGTTGACAGCAGCAATGTGAGCTCTCTGGCTCCCTCATCTGGCTCTTACACGTCATCCCAACCCACAGCCTCAGCACTCCACTCAGCCCACAACAGCAGCAACAGTAGCAGCAGCAGCATCAGCCACCTGTCCAACATGCCCAGCATGGGCAACAACATGAGCAGCACAGTTGGCGGTATTGCTGGTACGAGCGGACTTCACTCAGCTGCTACCGCCACCAGCAGTACAGTACTGGGACTTGGCTCCAATGGAGCTACTGCCACATCCAACCTCTCTGCTCCAAGGACTACACCCCTGCTCTCCTCCTCCACTGGTAATGCATTAAGGGCATTGTTTTCACCTATACCACTGGCTCCATGATACCACCTTTTTAAGTGGCTCTAATTGGAGCCCTTAGATGTACATTAAAGTAAATGTGTGTTATTGTATTGACAGGTAAAGCTCCTCCTAACCTGTCCCAGGGTGTGCCTCCTCTACTGCCCAACCAGTACATTATGGGCCCAGGGGGGCTGCTGCCTGCTTACCCAGTAAGTAGACCTTCTAAGATCCAGAGTCACTTTTGTGTGCTTGGGCTTTTGTATTTACACATGTAGTATTCTGTAGGATGTGTGACTGAGCCTTCTTGTTTTTTGTGCCTCACAGCAGATCTATGGCTATGAGGACCTGCATATGCTCCAGTCGAGACTGCCAATGGTGAGATGAATTGTTACGCTTGTGGGACAACTCTTTGTTTGTCATCTCTTTAGTGCTTGTTCAGATTTTTAGGTTGTCGTGGATCCTCTCCTGATCCTCTTCTCTTCCTTTAGCCCTCTTTGCAGGATTACTATGGAATAACATTCCCTGGCCCCGCAGCAACTCTTTCCGGCAGAGACGGGAGCCTTGCCAACAACCCTTACTCAGGTAAAGCACCTTAACTCTTGGCTGAAATCCTAAAATCCGGTGTTTATTCTCACTTGACTTCTCTCCTGTTTTTGCTAGGTGAAGTCACAAAGTTTGGCAGGAATGACTCCACCTCCCCAGCTCCCCCCACAAGCCTTGCGGCGCCGCAGCCTCCCCAGGCTCAGAGCCAAGGACAGAACCAGGCGCAGCCTCAGCCTCCTCAGGCCCAGCCTCAGCCCCAGGGCCAGCCACAGCACCACAGCAGTCAGCAGGCCTTTCTGCCGCCAGGCTACAGCTACACAGGCCTGCCTTACTACCCTGGAGTGCCCGGTGCCGTACCTAGTGCTGCTACCTTCCAATATGGCCCCACTATGTTTGTTCCTCCTGGAGGGCCAGGACCAGCTTCGGCCAAGCAGCACAGCATGGGCCTCGGCCTGGGAAACCCTTCGGCTAGCCCCTTCCAGCAGCAGACACAGCAGCAGCCCAGCGGCTATGGCCAGCACACCTTCAGCTCAGGTTCCTAAAAACCGATGCCAATGCCTGTCAGCACTGGCAATTCGAGCAGGGTTGTTACTGTGATTTGTTTGACAAGATGAGACAAGATGTTTTCTTTTCCAGGGTACGAAGAGCTGACAGCAGGGCCGGCGGGAGTGGAATACAGTAAAGGGTACAACTCCTCTTCACAGGCACAAGCCAAATCTGCTGCTACTGGCCCCGGGAAAGGTACAAAGAAAAGACACTGTTGCTAATTTGAATTTTTAAAGTCCAAGTTTTAATTGTACCGTTTTTCTACCAGGGGTCTCAGTGACATCCAGTAACTCCGGTGTGCCAGACATCAGTGGAAGTGTTTACAATAAGACCCAGGTGACAAATGTCAGCTGCACACCCACCCTGTTGTGTTGCTGTGCTGTTTGTGCCTTTACTAATAAATCATCCCTTCTCTATCTGCAGTCTTTTGATAAGCAGGGTTTCCATGCAGGAACCCCTCCTCCCTTCAGTCTGCCATCAGCGCTGGGGGGTCCAGGGCCTCTGAACCCTGGAGCAGCTCCTGGAGGCTATGCACCTGCCCCATTCCTCCACATCTTGCCTCACCAGCAACCACACTCACAGCTGCTGCACCACCATCTTGCTCAGGATGGACAGGTACAGATACTTCCCAGCAGTCTCCTGGGTTTCATCTTTGTCACTTCATACATGTTTATCTGTTTTGGGATGTTTACCTGTTTATTGATGTTTGATGTTCAGGGTGGTCCGAGCCAACGTGGCCAGTCCAGTAGCCTGCAGCAGAAGAGCCAAGTCAACAAGTCGGGCTACGGCAGCTCCCCTTACTGGGCCAACTGAGAACGACTACACCTGTGATGTGTGCGTGCACCACACCAGTATATCTGACTGACAAGATCATAGAGGGACAAACGATTTACAACACAAGCTAAAACACACACACTACCACCACCCCCCTCCCCTTTGCTCTGTATATCCCCTTTTCAAATTTATGGCTGTTGTATGTAAAATATATTTATGTATGTATTTATACAGTATATATGTATTGGTAGGACATAAAATGTGGTTTTCTGCATTTTTTTTATTTTGAAGGACATTTTATTTCAAAATAATGGAAAGATGAGAATGCTAAATCATGGAGATGAAGATGGTGAATATACTTGAACACAAGCATCTTGTGATGTGGATTTTTTTTGTATGCATACATGAACTGAGAATGATGTACATAGATTATACCCATCATTTTCATGGCAAAAGCCTTTTTTTAATTTTAGAAGAAATATTTTTTTTGTAACTTTGGTCTCCCGCATCTGTGAATCCTTATATTGAGGGTGACTTGAGTTGATAGCTAGAGTTTTCTTTTACCCCGTTTCCTTCCATTTGTCTCTCATTCCCTGACTCTTACTAGTTGGTTGGCTTGACCAGCCAGGCCTTGGATTTGATGTCATTTTAACATTGGTTTAATCCTTGTTGTCCAAATTAAAATTAATGAACAGTTTCTATCGATCTGGCATCAGTATTTGCTTACTACACTTGGAGGTTATGAATTCAGACTGATACTTGGAAAGTATGACAACAAAGGACTGTTGATGTGTAATCAAACAATGTTGCTCAGGGCTGACATTTAACAGGAAGTATGGGTATCGGCACAGTTTGAAGCAGTTCAGCAGAAACTTTAAGCATTTGTTCCTTGTTAAATAGATTACTGATCTTACAACACAGTGGCCACACTCTTGTTTTGACATTCAGCAACTTTGAAAGTCCACAATGGTTTTGCCACTGTCCAGACCTGCGCTTACAAAAGTGCACCCTGTATAAATACACACTGCAGTTGTTTCAGACCTAAAAATTTAATATGCTGAAGATCTATAGACAAGAGTACATCAGATTTTCTTCTTGCATTAAGTTATGATTAAGCTTCAGTTAGCCTCTGCACATAATTGCCAAAAACTAGCCTTTCAGAAAGTCTGTGCATGCATGACTATTTTAGTTATGTCAACAGTCCACACGAAAATATGTGGACTAGCCTCGAGGAGCAATGGTGTATTGAAATGTGCCTGCCTCGTCTCCATAACGATGAGGACATTCAGTACAGTGACTTTTAAATGCCAACTTATATAATCAAGGTCATGTGTGCCAGGTGAACCGACTGGACGGGGTATGTTACAGTAGCACATGACTTTTTTTTGGAAAGCTTCCCAATGATGGTTTTCAGGAAATATTACCTGTTAACAGTGATGCTGCTCCCCCCCCCCCCCAAAAAAAATGTTTTTAACAAAAACAATAAAGCTTGAGAGGCAATTTATTTTCAGAAGTGCAGGTAAATTCTACCAACTCCAAGGCACAGTTATAAGCATTCATTAGCAAAATAACCTGCATTCATACAAAAATAAGAGACAGGACAACAAAGCTACTGATATACTAGACATACAGTTAACGCCCTTATGTAGGGGTTATCTGAATTAAAACAAAAACTGTACACAAAAATAAGAATTTTATTGTCCACACATCCATTCTTTACTCTGCAGCATCTTTTTTCTTCTTTTTCTTTTTCTTTTCAGTCACGGGTGTTTCTGGGGTTTCCTCTGGCTGTGTGTCCATAGCATCAGTTTTTCGCTTCTTTTTCTTTGCAGGAGTCTCAGTTTCCTCAGCTCCATCCTCGGCATCTGGAGCTTCCTCCGACTCTGCTTTTCGTTTCTTTTTCTTCTTGGCTGAAGTCTCTTCTCCATTTTCTCCAGAGGGGGCCTCCTCTGCCTGTGCCTCCATCTCCTCAGCTGCTTGTTTCTTCTTTTTCTTCTTCTTAAGAGTGTTGTCCTCTTCTCCATTCTCCACCTTCAGACAAAAATAAATAAATTTAAATATCAGAAACACTCTTTTCAATGCTTGGAAGCCTGAAAGCCCAATGGCTGTGATACAGCTTTAATGTACGACTCTCTTCAGTGATCAAGCCCATTGATTAGGACCAGCCAATGGTTCGGAGTCTGCTTATATGGCATGGCGTACACTGAGAAGAGACCATGTTTGGGTCCCATCTCAAATCATAACATGCCAAGGCCACAGAAAAACAACACTTACCTCTGTGTCACCGTTAGCTTCTCCATTTTCTCCAAGTTCTTGTAACTTCTTTTCACGCTTCTTACGTTTCTTTTCCTTCTTCTCTAGTTTGCGTTTGATCTCAGCTGCAACATCAGTAGCCTAAGATGAGGAGAGAGAAAAAAAACCCCCACGACAAATTCAGTTAAATCAGGGTAAAACAATGGGATTTTCCCCCCAGAGGTCCAGGGGCTGCATCAGGCTCATTAAATCAGCTTTTACCCTCACTGAGATGTCAGGGAAAGATGTCTCATCACTTACAGCATACAGAGATTGAAAGAATCAAAGATACTTTTGAAATGTCTTACAGGAACTTGATTCTCCATTTGTTAGGCCTTTGACAAGACATTTAAAAATCAATAATAAAAATCTCAAGCTAACCTCTTTGAGAGCCTCTTTCATGACATCCACATTTTTCCGTGGTACATCGCCGGTCTCATAGAAAGACAGCCGCTCTTCTACCTGTTCACGCAGCTTGTCACCAAACACGCTTGTGGGCAACTCTGTAAGAGAGCGAGAAAACTTCAGCTTAATCAACAAGCAGCGGATTATACTTGACTAATCAGCGTCCCTAAAAGACATGTGGCTCTGCTCAGGAGAAAGCTTCTCAACACCAACCCTAAGGCTGAATACTGTTGACGAAAAATATGAGCATCACTGCAATGATGCCACATGTATGTAAGCCGATGCAGGCGTGTGGTGGGTCACTCACCTGAGAAGCAGTCGATGCGTGAGGCGATCGTGCACTTGTTTGCCAAATATCTGGAGATGCGGCCTTTGTTTTTGGCAGCGGCACGGCCGATGAAAGTCGAGTGGAAAATGAGGCCGTACTTGGGGGTGTTTCCACGCGTTTTCAGGGCTCTGTGAAAATACAGCTGCTTTCATAATCAGGATGAACGGCAGGTGTGAAATGTTACCTTTTCACAGTCTATTGCTCAAAGTCTACACACAACAGTTAACCGGACTTGAAATACGCAGGTTTAACATGCAGTTTATCAGGAAGGACAACTACCAGTGACATGAGGTTCAGCCACATCCAAATGGCAGTACACACATTAACATATATAACTAATATGCGAGCAACTTAACAGCTCCCTCTTGTGGACAACATTAAAATATGCACATTGGAAGGCACTTAAAAGAACACATACAACTTAACTTTGCAGCTACGTGGATGCTATCGCTAGAATTTAGTTTTAGACACTGTTGATGGCAACTTCAAACATTCTGTACCGTTAGCCAAATTTCTACCTCTGTGCTGTGAGTGGGTGCTCAGACTGTGGGTGTGCATTTGGGCGAGCAGGATCACTCCAGAGGAGACTGGGTCTTCTCCAGTCACCCAGCTCTGCTCCAGCCCAGCCCTGCCATCACTGCAGCCACTTTTTTCCCCAGCAGGGAGGGGGTGCCCCAGTACCTGAACAGGGCCTTCTCTGCTCCCAAGATCTGAACCGTGGATGCTGGATACTTGGCGAGGTTGGTCAGACTGCCGGCGTGGGAGATCAGACGCGCTCCAACCTGGAGATAAGACAATCTGTTATGGCCCCCTTAAGCAAAAAAAAATAAATCACAATTTTGACACTGGATGCAAAACACAGTATGAGGACCATCAGCACCGAATACATTTTTCATCACACTGGCTCAGTGGATTGACAGATTTTGGTATAACATCATTGGTCCGTGTGTCGGGGTTAAAAATAAAACTTCGACTCACCACTTCTCCAATCAAGGCTGCCAGGTTTGGAGCCACTTGGCTCATCTTAGACCGCAGATACTCCTGCAGCTCCAGCCGGTAGGCAGCCAGAGACACGACACGACTCGAAAACCTCTCGATGTTAATCAGGTCAATGGGAGATATATCCATACCTGAAGACCAAACAACCAGAGGATGATCAGCATTATATTTTTAGCAGGTGCTGCATTTGTGACATTTTAAACCAGTACATGGCATGAAACGTGAGATTGTTTCTCCCGACAGGATCCGCAGTGAGGATGCATGCCTTCACTACAGGTTTATGAGAGAACTACTCTACCCCCCTGTGTTAGACACCAAGGACACTTGTAGTCCAGAGTGGGCAAAAAAGGGGCACAATGTGGAGTATGTGGATGAACCAGAGTCAAGCTGGCATAAATTAACTTTGGATATGGATGAAATTAACTTTGACCCAAGCAGGATGTGTATTTGTGAAATTATGCAGCACATACTCTGAATGTGTGGTGTACTCACCCATAGAGGAGCGTGATGCATCCAGGATGGCCTGAGCCTTGGCACTGTCCATCACCACCTCCTCTAAACTTTCTAGGTTCTCCTCTGACAACTCCTTCCTGTTTCCAATGAGCTGAGCCAGGCGGCAGTACATCGAGTTGTCGGACACAATTTTGATGAGCTCCGGAAAGTGGTAGCCATACCATTCACTGTAGATAAACAAGAGGGTGTTAAAACTTTGAGTGCAGGATTTTTGGACTAAACATTTAAATGCTGAACTACCCATTAAGATGGCACAAAGTTCAAGACTGCTGGAAAAATATCCCTTTCAAAATTACAGCTTCTCCTTCTCTTTAGATATCCAATTCTATTCACAGAGTCCTGTATCGGTAGGAAAAGCCTGGAGCTTTTAAGACTTGAATGCTAAAGCTGACAATAACTGATGCCTAAATGTTCTAGATGATCTTGCACTCTGACAGTTTGCACCAGGATATTTCACACCAAAATGAATGCATGCGTCACAACACCCCAAACAGCTACAAGATGCTGAGCTAGTAAATATACACGATGTTCCACCCAACAGTGTTGCCTCACCAGATAACAGCTGGCAGAGCAGAAGTGTTGGGAGTAACTGATGTACCTCCTGTTTCTATACAGTCAGCACTCTGAGGTGTGCTGTCTGTGGTAAGCATTAGGAGGACGCCCCAAAATGTGCGATACCCCGAACTACAAAAAGCCTGATGCAAATCTGTCAACAGAAAAGCCACAAAACTAGAGGTTGACATTAAAAAGAGTGAAAGATTAACAGCATGAAAGTTTAACATGTTCCCTAAACTGTTTAATTTTATGCAAAAACCAGTTAACCAGTCCTTTTACTGTGTGATGAAAATTTCCTACCGAACACGCATGGAGAAGGTGTTGATGTCTTTGTCCAGCTGATCCAACAGAGCAATGGACTGGATGATCATGTTATCTACCCTGTTGACATTAAACTTGACTTTAGCTCTGGAGTAGCTGTGGCCAAGACCCAACTGTGCCTTGGAGGCAGCCATGGCAGTCAGACCTTTCACCAGAGAGTGGAAGTGCAGACGCAAACCTGACGGGACAGGACAGATTGAGAAGGTTTGCTGAGTGTTAAGAAGAACACCAACAGAAAAGTGCAGGTCCAACGGCTGTTCAGATTTTCAGTATGAACCTTCACGAGTTTCAGGATCACAAGCTCACATCACAACAGTCCACATTATTTTATAAACAGTATCGTTTTGCATATTTCGAAATAACTCTCAGGTAAACATTCTCACCTCGCGTGATCTCAGCCACCACCCCTCCAGTTTGGATTGAACTGCTCAGTTCTTCTTGTAACGCTGCTCCAATCTTGCCATCAGAAACCCCCAACACTGATTTTTTCTTCCCAGACTGGGGCAGATTGGTCTCTAGGAACAGCTTCAGGTCAGCATGAACTACACCTGCAAGGGATGGAAGAGTTATATCTGTAGACATGTGGTTGAGATGGAAAGCCATCTATAAACTGCAACACGGACTATTGTGATATTATTATATTAAAGCCCGATAATTTGCCATCTCAGAACAAATTGGATATATAATTAAAGTAGTCTCATTAACAATTATTACAGATAAAAGAACAAATCAAAATCTGTCCATGTCTTTCCTCAGGTGTTCAGGGTTGATATGAAACTGTCAGCACAATAACTCAGTGGATTGACAGATTATAAAAACATCATTACAGCTGAGAACTTTTCCACACAAGATTTTTAAAGAGAAAAATGATAATCATACATACCTTCAGAGATAGCGTTCATGTTCTCCAGGGCAGCCTGGGCCGACTTAAAGGGGAAGAAGGCGGCTAAGCTCACCATGCTATTAAACTTTCCGAGGCTCAGCACGCTCGCCTCCACCTGACACGACACAAAAGCACAATTATCAGTGCTCTGCTTAAAGAGCACACAAAACAGATAGTACACAGGAGTTAGGGAAGGGGACGCACCTGGGGCAGCAGCATGCCGATCTCCTCCACTTCTTTGACGGCGAATAGCGCATAGCCCGCCGCGTGCTCGAACAACACGTGCAGCAACACCTGGGGAAGGTGATCGTGCACAATCGAGTTAGACGACAGATGTCAACAGGTAACACTTGCAGCCAGCAAAAACAGGAAGGTGTTTCTAAAACTACGTTCAGATCAAGTGTTTATTAGTCCCCACGTGCTGACCAGCGAGACACGAGCTAACTTCACTTTCGACTAATTCCTAAGCTAAGATTGCAATTTTAGGCATAAATGTGCAGTAGCTTTTTCAAAAGTGTTTTTCTACTTCAGGTTTAGTTACCATTGCTTTGTCGTAACTTTCACACGTAACCACGTTGCAGTCTCGATGAACCCACGTGTCGACCTAGGCCCGCGATTAACGTGCTTGCTAAGAGCTAGCTTGTGCTAACACGGCCCCTAGAAAAGTACAATACCTGCTACAGCACTGTCAATATAACAGTGCTTCTGGTACGACTGCGACTAACACAGCTGGACACATCATTAGTCACTTTAAGTCTTTAAAGTAAGATATTTTTCCAGCTAATATCAGCACTAGCGGAACTGCTCCCCAAATGTCGGAGGGCCTTTAGCTCGACAGAAGTGAACTAAATCTAACTAGACATTTGTACTCTTAAAACCCAACTAACTGCAAAGAAACTTAAAGTGTATAGTTTAATGAACAATTTGCAGTCATGCCAAAATATCCAACCCCGCTCAGCTTACCATGATTGGAAAATCTCCGCGGCAGCACGCAGTTCGTGTCTGCTATGCTGCTTCACCTCAGCAAAAAGACTGCGTCCAAGCGTTTCAGCAAACTGCAGCGCCGCCCCAAATCCCGCGGTAGCAGCTTTGACATCGCGAGACCCGACCGAGAAAGCTTCAATTTGCTTCCTTTCCCCAATTTCCTATGCTGAAGAAAAAAAAAATTAAAATATAAGGTTCTAAATATCTATTACGGAAGCGTAGAGCTACGGAAGCGTAGAGCTGCCACCCAGGCCAAAGAAAAATGTATCACGTACGTTATAACGTGAAAAGTTTATTGTTCTAACAAGATACTTTTCCTGTTTGTACAATATACATTGTACGAACGTGATAATTATGTATATTGTAATAACGTGATATTATGTTGTTCAAACGTGAAAAGTATATTGTACAAACATGATAGTATATTGTACCTGGGTCGTGCCTGGGTGGCAGCTCTACGCTTCCGTAATCTATAGCCAGGGACTGTAGTTTAAAAAAATACAGACTACCACATCGGCAGACTACCACAATTGATTCCAAATCTTACAATTAATATGCGATTTTGAAGTCCAGTTCAGTTTTAATTAAAGGCGCTTAACAAAAGCATTACATTAGCTGTTTAAGAGTTACAGCAAATTTTTATACAGTGTCCCCCCGGGTTAAAAACTAACTGTACAAAGTAGCATCATTTTAAATAAGATTTATTTATTTTTAATTGAAGGAAAATCCTATCCTGAAGTCTGTAAACCATAAATATCACCAAATGCTTTTTTCTTCCTTGAGATGCTCTGTTATGCTGGCACTCTTGCCACTTTGGTTGCTGCTTGTGTGTGGGTCTTTCTGGATTCAGGTTTGTGTTTAATTACTTAAAAATGCTATATTAGGTTGGGATCAGATAAATAGGCAATTGAAGAATATCCCATTTCATTGCCATGGCTCACCGGTTGTTTTTGCATTATCCCTTGGGTCATTATATATTTGCACTGTGAAGTGTTGACTAATCAGTTTTGCAGTATTTGGCTGAATATGAACAGAATACCACCCTGTGCACTTCAGAATTACATCTTTAATAATCATTAGGTATTTCTCTCCATATTTTTCTCTTCTTGTCATTGTGGTGTAATTAGTCAACATTTACAACACTTACTCAACTTTGCAGGTTCTTTATATGTTTAATGGCATTGTTCTTGAGTGTACCTAGTGGTTTGCACCTTATTTTTATCCATGAACAGCTCTCTTGATCGTAGACTTGTTACAATGACATGGTTACCAAATCTAACCAAGTCAAGTGTTTTTGTGAATGTTTTTTTAACTCCTTCGGTTACATCAACATTTCTTTGGAACTCTCATTGAGATTAACTGTCAAAAGCACTTGAATTAACGCCAAATGTTTCCAGCTGCTTTATTTGTCATGAAAAAAGGGAGCAGAAAATTGCTTGTTAGGGACCTGTCCAATTACCTTTGATCCTTTGAAAATGGGGGACTTTAGATATCAATGACTGTAATTCCTAAAAAGTTAATGCAATGCACCCCCTGAATTTGCTGGTCCCCCCACAGTGTCCCCCCACCTCAATTCTGGGAGAGTGAGTCTTAAGCTGCTTCTGCTCAGCTCTGCTGAGAATCATTAGTTGTGGTTGGAATCAATCAATCAATCAATCAATCAATCAATCAATCAATCAATCAATCAATCAATCAATCAATCAATCAATCAATCAATCAA